TGTTGGTTTCCAGTACTGTGGGGAATATAGCACATTTTGTTTTTATTTTTAAAAAATATGTTTTCATTGATTTCAGAGAGAGGAAGGAAGAGGGAGAGATAGATAGAAAACATCAATGATGAGAGTCATTGATTGGCTGCCTCCTGTACGCCCTCTACTGGGGATCGAGCCAACAACGCGGGCATGTCCCCTGACTGGGAATCGAACCATAACCGTTAGGTCCATAGGTCGACGCTCAACCACTGAGCCATGCCAGGCGGGCAGGGAAAAGAACACATTTTAGATGTGGCCAAGAGTGCTTAGACTGCGTGGAATTACATTTCTCTAATTTTTTTGGATGGCTCTTCATACCTGTAATCTGGTGCTCTAGCCCAGCCCCACAGATAGCTGCTCTCCTGGGTTTCTGTATTATGATGGGTTCTTTACCGATTCCTTGGGTCTTCCACTTCAAAGAAATGACAATGACCAAAGATGCCTGAAAAACTCAGTGTGAAGCCAGTGGTGGTCACTGGGCTGTTCACAAATGTTTCTCCTATTCTGGGAAGGGGGCAGGAGGGCCAGTCTCAGATGTGGCCACGTGACTTTCCCTGGCCAATGAAATGTGAGCTATGTGATGTGTCATTTCCCAGCAGAAGTTCTAAGACCCAGTGAGCCATTGGCAACATTTCCTTGGCTGTCAGTGATTACAGAAGTGTGTGTGAGATGAAGCCTCTATTGGCCAGTGTCTGAGTCATAGCAATGAACAGAACCCCCTGCAAGCCCTGGTTAGAATCTAGTATGAGAAATGAACTTTATTAGTTTTACCTTGGGATGGCAAAACCCAACCTATCCTGACACAATGCAAAGGACAGCTCCATTACCACCAACTAATTACTCATTTCAGGACACAAAGGTATTACTTCCCATGCCAGGGGCAAAGAAAATTCAGTAACTAACACAGGTAATAAAACTTTACCTCCCTGTCAGTTCTCCATTAAATAAAAAAGGATTGAACCTTTAAAATGTTAACATTAAAAAATATTTCCTTCTTAACCAGGAAGGGAAATTTTCTTCTTTAGGAGGCTTAGCTAGACTACCAAAAACATAGTTTAGTGTTAGATCCTCCACGGTTGCTCATTCCAAATGCAGATTCCCTGGCCTTGGCCTCTTAGAAGAAAGCTTAATTCCCAGGAGGTTCTGTAATCTTGATGTTTGTTTATGTGTGTGGTATAATATAAAACCATATTTGGTCTTTGTCCTCAGTTCCTGCTGCAGAGCTGGTAAGACTCTTGGAATTTCCTGAAAGGAATGTACTTTGTTATTCATAATGAGCCTCCGAGTTTATGCTAATGTGTGAGGTCACTCAGGGTGGGACTCCTAGGTAGCCTTAGGACAGAGCTGGTCAACAGCAAGGCCAAGTGATTAGACCTCCTGACCAACTTCCAGGAAGAACGTCTGGGAGGGTGTTGGAGATTGAGATTTTATAAACTCCTGAGCAGTGAGATTCAGAGAGCTGGGCTGGTGAACACATCGAAATGCTGGGAGGATGGCCTGCCCCTGAATCCCTCCCTCTCCTTCCATGCCCCCTGCGTTCCTTTTATTTGGTGTTCTCGTTATATTCTTTATAATAAACAGGGGAACGGAAGTAAAGTGTTAATTCTTGAGGTCTGTGAGCGATTCTAGCAAATTATCCATCTTAAAAGTGAAGGGAGTGGTAGGAACTCCCCAATTTTATAATCAAGTTGGACGGAAGTGTGGGTAACCTGGGACCCAATACTAGCAGCTGGCATCTGAAGTGAGGGCAGTCTTGTGGGACCCCCTTACACCTGTTGGGGTCTGACAATAACCCTGGGTAGTTAGTGTCAGAAGTGAAGTGAATTGTAGTACATCCAGTTGGTGTCCAGAGAATCAGAGAAGTGGTGGTTGCTCTTGGAAAACATCCTAGAAATATGTTACCAACATAACACCAAAGTTCATTTCCAACATACTGCCTTATTGAGTTTATACACGCTTCAATATTAGAGATAGTATAAGAGACAAATCACAGCTCTGCATAAAAGAATTTTATTTAGTGGTCAGATCCCAATGAATAATGTCAGTCATTGCTTGATTCTGCGAAAGTGTGCTATTGTAAGATACGCTCTTAAGGAAGGGTACATTGCATCACCAGAAGCTGTTTAATTTGGATTGTATAGAGTAACAGAGAACTTCATAAATCTTTGTTCTCTGATAAAAATTTTAAAATATAAAAATGAAAAAAAAACACAAAAAACCCCAAAGCAGTATTTCAAAATAATAAATGTCACCTGGGACTATTTACAGTAAGACACCTTTTTAATAGAATAACCTCTGCTTGATTGTTTTCCTCACAAATTTACCTATAAGTATCCTCACTCCTCCGTCTGACCCCCATTCGTGATTTCTGCCATTTATGTTTTCCTTGAAATAGGCATCTTCTGCTCTCTCCTCTTTAAGTCTTTCTCTGATACTCCTTTTTCCTACTCTTCAATGACCAATAATTCTATTCAACAGACATTTGTTGAGCACCTATTATGTGCCAGGCACTGAGGAGGAGGTGGAGATAAATACAGAGATGAAAAGTCATTGACACACTCCCCTCCTCAAGAAACTAAGTTTGGGTTGAATTAAAAATTGTTTTTCACATTATTTTCCATGAAATCCCAGGTCCCTCTAAAGTCAACCTGGGGATTTCTTGAAACAAAGTGCACTCGTGGAGGGTATGTCAACGTGGCCCACTCCAACACGTGTGGAAGTTATAATTCTGTTCTCATCTATGAAGCACAGCCTCAGAATCCCAGGCCTACAGAGTTGGAGTTCCACACTCTTAACAGGTGGACTACATGTCAAGCAGTAGGGGACAGCTGTGCCAATTTGTTTATTGTGGATGGTAATCTTTTAATTGGCTTCTCCAAATTCCAAATATGAAAAGCCCAATACTAAATTTGAGCTCTAGATACATACTAAGAAACTCTCCCCTGACTTGGACTTGCAACAAGATGCTCAGAAACGCCTATCTTTTTAATAAATGGCCAGCAGGAGCTCTTTTTATTACCTCCACACATATTTCTTTGTGCTTTTCTGTGGACATTTTCTTAGCTTTGAACATAAAAGCAACAAATTAAGCCTGCGGGTCACCTTTTTTCTTTTTCTTTTATCATGGTGGAAACCAAAGCAAGCTCACATTTTGCATTTGGCCTACATTTTTGTCCATGAGGCCTCGAGAGACTCTTGGTAGTTACTTTAAAAAAAGAAGGCAAGCCATGAAATATAAAACAGAAACTCTACATAGCATACTATAAAAGCAACAGTGAAACCACACCCTCACTGCCCCATTTGTTCCATGTCGAGCGGACCACAAATATTCCCATCTGGAAGTATTTCTCGGCCGCAGTCAAGTCCGCGTCACGGTGGTGGGCTTCACTCTCACAGTTTGTAGCACGTTCCTCTCTCCCTGAACCCTCACAGCCAACCACGAACAGTGCTGCAGTTTTTGTGGGAAAGTTCTATCCTTGATCCCATGCCTTTCCAAAGGTTACCCGGGGTCACATCTCTGTACAGCTTCCAGCCCATTAGACGACACGCTATACATTCAAGAGTATTAGCGCCAGGTTCCGAACTTCATGAGCTGGTCCCAAGCCCTTAGGATCTGAAGGGAGCTGGCATTATTCCCATGTTACGTTTGGCCTGCTCTACCCGACGGCAGGGTGACCGCAACGTGTGACATATGTGCAGAGAACGAAGGGCAGGGAGAGGGGAAAGGTGATGGTGCACAAGCTTCTTGCTCTGTCGTGCATATATTTTCAGTGTAACAGCGTGTATTTCGACACGGAAGGGCTTGTGCTTTTTTGCTCAAGAAATAACTCGCCCTGAAAAGCTCATTTGGCAAATGTGGCCACGAACGTGTGTGTGTGTGTAAAATGTGTCATGAGGTTACGTATCAAGTCCGGTGGGTGTGTCCCCCTGGCCCCTCCCCCACAGCCACACCCAGCTCACCAGCAAGGAGAAACTGATAGTTTACACCTGGTCAGTTTGGTATTCAGAAGCTTCGGACAGGCTTTCCGAGAAGCTTAGGAAGTTCTCCTGGTACTCGGAACAAACAATCTCGTAACGGTAATGCCGGAACTCCACCGCGAAGGTGCCAAAGTAAGACAGGAAGCACATGACCAGGCCCCACTGGACCCTGGCTGCATACATGTGGATGCCCTGGGCCATGAGGATGAAGTCTGGGGAGGTGCAGTCAAGGAAAGGACCCCATCAGCCACACGAATACCAGGCTCTTTTCTGGGAGAGACTGGTTTACAGGAAAAGTCTGACTGCCCCTTGTTAGCAAGAGTTAGCCTGATGGATGGGCTTGCTGATCACGAACATCTACATAAATAAAACTGACGACATTATCGAGCTCTTACTTTGTCCCAGACAAGCTTCTAGGTGCTTTCATGGGAAATTGAACTTAATCCTCATGACAGTCCTATCATCATCATTAGTTCATTGGTGTGGCTCAGTTGGTTGAGCTTCATTCCATGCACTGAAAGGCCACAGGTTCGATTCCCAGTCAGGGCACATACCCAAGTTGCAGGTTCCCAGGGTGGGCAGAGGAGGCAGCCAATTGATGTTTCTCTCCTACACTGATGTTTCTCTCTCTCTCTCTCCCCCTTCCTCTCTCTCTAAGAGCAATAAAAACATATTTTAAAAAATAGGGAAACAAGTCAAATGGGCAAGTAACTTGCCTGAGGTCACATGGGTCTTAACTGATGGACCTGGGATTCAAACACCAGCACTGACTCCCAGGCCCTGCATTCAATCACTATATGGCCGTCTAATAAACTGCGAGATTAGCAAGAGTCACAATTCCAAAATAAGTAGTTGGCCAGAAAAAATAAAGTTACCTTTTAAAAAATCACTGCAAACGGCTGTGGATTCACAGTTATCATTCCATCTGCAGAAACACTTTTGATCATATCAAATCACTAACCACCTCCATACAAGCTGCACTCATCTCTGCAGTGCTACTAAGCGGCCCCTCTTCCTTTTCTGTTTAGTTTTCACTATCGTCTTTCAGACAATATTGTATAGGTTAGTTTCATTCCTAGTGTCACATTTAAACTTGTGCCTAAATGAAAATATGCAATTAAAAAAACGGATAAGACTCCAGTGCCTGAATATATAGGAAGTATGTGTGTTGAGAGGTTCATAGCATGTTTTAGTGAAAGGACTAAATACATTTATTTAGAAAAATCAGAAATGCTCCCTTAGAATTAGTTCTACCTTCCGAACTTAAGATCTTGGGAAATTTTCAGAGAGTATGTGAAACTACTTCAGCTACACTTTGCTCTCCAGGTTAGACCTGGATCCATTCCCCTGGGAACCAAGAAGTGGTTCCAAGTGTTCAGAAATAATATGGATCAGAATCGTTTGGTATAAAAGCTCAACACTCAGAATAACTTAAAGTCTGCACATCCGTTTCTGACTGAGGGTTCAAAATATTGCCAAAGCAATATTATTACTTAGGTTAATGGGGAAGGGATGAATCTTCAAATCTCACACTGGCACAGTTCTGACCTTTTCACTCAAAATATTTTATCCGGTTTCTAGCAATAAAGTTCTTTGGCTTGATTTCCAAGTCCTTGAATATTCTCTAATGCAAGTACAGAACTTAAAAAAAAAAAAAAAAAGCCCACTAAATGACTTAATGGCAATTTATGAAGGAAGAAGAAATAAAAGATTCCAAATATTCAACTAACTAGAGAACATCACTAAACACTAAGTCTTTTTATATTTTAAAGCCACATTCTCTAAGATAAGATCATGTACTGAACTGAGCCTGACTTTAAATCAAGACCACCACATACTGTGTGTGACCTTGGGTAAATCAACCTCTGTGCATCACTAGTCTTACCTGTGAAGATGAAAGAAGCTGATACATCTACAGTGCTTAGGATAACCCACAACACATCACAAGCACCGGATATACTGGCTGTTATGTGACTGAAGATGCCTGACTGTGTTACTTACAGTCTGCCATCTAGGAACTTGTTCCCTTCTTCTCTGGTTTTCTCAGGGGGGTCTACGGGAGTGAACATTTATGATCACCCCACCCCACAGAATCAGTGAGCGATGTGACTGGTGGGACTGGAACTGGCTGGCTTCCACTGGGCCGTGCCACCAGCAGGTGCAGTCACCACGCTCCATCCTAGACTAGCCTCTCTCTGGGATGTTTGGGGAGAAGCTGAGTGAAGCCTTCTTCTCTTTCTCTCCCTGGTTTCTCTACTTGTTATTGGGTGGATAAGCTGAATTCCACAGTGTGAGATAAGAGGCCTGCGGCATTTCCTTTCCATATTTACCAGGAATAAAGGCCGATTTCTTCATCCTCATTTGGCTCCTTGTGTCTGTTTTCTATTGGTTTAAACTCTGAGGGAGGAAGGGAAATAAATAGCACCTCAAAACCTCAAAAATATTTTTTAGGACAATTATACATGCAGTGGTAATCTAATTCTTAAATTTGTTTCCGAGAAAAGCTCATTTTCCCGAAAGATATAAATGTATTTGTCCCTTGAAATTCGTATTAGAGTTAATAAATTACATTATAGGGCCATTAATAAAGTCAAATGAAGTTTTTTTAAGATGGAGGGGGAAAATCACAATTCTTTTTTGGTTATGCACTCTGTTTCTCACAAAGGGAAACTTTCACATCATTAATGATTAGGAGAATGCATGACACCATTTCTACAGAGTGAAACAATCTTGAGAAGGCAGAGCTTATTTTATTTTTAATTCTCTTCTTTGGCATGAAAAATAGCCCGAGAGTTTTTATTTTTATACCCATTTACTTTTCTGTTTTATCTAAGGTTCTGAAATGATCCATCTATATCCTAACCAATCCAGAATGGCACTTTTCTCATCTACATAGACGAGTTATCTGTGTTTTAATCTCGCTGGCAAAGAACCCTTCACAGTCAAAGGATACAGAGGACCACACAGAGAGTGATAGATGCTGAGAGAATAACTCGCGGAATCCCAACTTTCCGTCCCTCGTTCTTGATGTTGACTTTGAGCGTCAATGCAGCCTGGATCCAGCACGTCAACGTGCCAAACCCAAAGGTCAAGGAGGTTCCGACATTATGGATTTCTTCATCGTTCGTGAGCTAAGGGATGAACAGATATGGACACGTGGAGGCCCATTCAAAAAAGACATAAAAGCCAATGGAATATGTGAGGGAGAAAAAAAATAGGTTAAGTGATATCCCAACAATGAAATGATGAATTTTAGAAAGATTAGAGTCCTTCATCTCCACTGGCTCCTTGTGTCAGTTCTCAGTTGGTTTGAACTCTGAGGGGAAGAAGGGAAAGAGATAGTACCCCCAAACCTCAAAACATTTGTTTAGAAAACCATACAAAGCATGGTAATCTACTCCTTGAATTTATTTTCCAGAAAAGCTTTGTGGAAAAGTAAAAGAAAAAAGCAGGAAAGTTACACCTAAAAAAAGAGAAATGTCAGAGTTTCTACAAACATATACCCCAAACTTTGTTTTCTAGACTAAGCAATGAGACCTGGCATCTGGCTGTGTAGTTACTGACTGAGAAGGACCAGTTCTAAACAGGCCAATATTTCAGTGGCATAGACAACTAATAACACTTGGACTGTTCATTACTCCTACAAAACAGGCCTGTCCATATAGTGTGACCACTTCATTGTTAATGGGATTTTATTTTGCTTTCCTATTATAGTAAAGCTGCCACCCAGGAGCTTTTGCCATATCTGTAGACCCATTAAAGGACAACAGTGTTTGAAGACTCCTGATCACAGCATTTATAGAGTTAATGGGTTAAAGGAGACTCATTTGGGTTATTTCAATTGAGTGTTACAGATGTAGATTCCTCAAATCATTACCCACTGATTAAAAAAATTTGTCACTTAAAACACCTTTAGTAATTGCATATATTTTGAAATTCATATTTAGGAAAATAAAATCTATCTTAAACAGGTGGCTTTTAAAACATGGTGAAAGCCCTAGCCAGTAGCTTAGTTGGTTAGAGCATCATCCTGAAACACCAAGGTTGTGGGTTCGATCCCTGGTCAAGGCACATTCTAAGAGGCAACCAATGAATGCACATATAAGTGCAACAACAAACCAATGTTTCTCTCCCTCTCTCTCTTCCTTCCTCTCTCTATCTAAAATCAATACATTTTTTAAAACTTTAAAGCATGGTGAAAATATTTTTTTGAATTTCCATTGCCTTCAGATGTTGTATTGTTTGACATTGCTGTAAGTAATGGTCGGATCAAATCAATATTATTTTCTTTTTATAATTTTTTTTTTTTGCTGTAGGATTTTTTCCCCCTCTTCTTTGGAAGAAGCCACTTTTTTTCTCTCACAGTTCAAAAGACATGTTTTCAAAACCTATTTTTAAAATTATTCCTCAAGTCAAATTTTACTTCTAGGAAATTGGTTCTTTAAAAAGTATAGATGAAAAGTCTGTCTCCCATCCCATATACTAGCTGCCTGGTTTCTCCCCAGGCAACTAATTTGTTATTTGTTTCCCGTGTACGCTCTGTAGATATTCCAGAAAGTGTTTTTCATACATAGCATCACCATTCATGGCTTTATTTACAGTTCACCAAAACAACCTAATCTCTGGGTGTCTCCTAGGATTTTAGTAAAGAGCAAAACGTCTACTCATTAACTTCTGTCCTAGTTCTGGTTGAGAGAAATGATAGTCACTGAGCCCTTTACAACATATCAGTACCCACAGCACAGAAAGTAAGTGAGGGCAAGACTCCCACCAAAATCTTAATAAAAATTCTCTATGCCCTAACATTTTGGAGTTTATCGGGATAAACTCTCAAAAATTCTGATAGCCCAGCTGGGGTGGCTCAGTGGATGAGCGCTGACCCATGAACCAAGAGATCACCAGTTCCATTCCCGGTCAGGGCACATGCCTGGGTTGCAGGCTAGATCCCCAGTAGGGGGCGTGCAGGAGGCAGCCAATCGATGATTCTCTCTCATTGATGTTTCTATCTCTCTATCCCTCTCCCTGCCCCTCTCTCTAAAATCAATAAAAACATATTTTTAAAAATTCTCCTGATAATTCATTGTCTTAGTCAACATGTTCTATGGATGCAGTTTTCTTGTTGTCCAGATAGACACAGGATGAGACCTAGAATAGTTAGAGGAGTTGGTGGGATTGCCTATCTATCAAACAACCCTGTTTTAATGAATTATCACGCCTGAGGTTTAGGACAACAGACACTCTGAGAATCTACTGCCATATTTTCTTGAATGTCTGTGCCATTTGGACTTCACTTAATAGAAGGGAGAGAGGTGTCCAGGATCAGGCGTTTGATTATAAGAGGGAAGTTTCCAGCAGCAGCATACAGCACAGGCTGGAGGATGCTGGGAGGGAGTGGAGGCAGGAGATCAGACACATACTGTGGTACTGCATGGGTCTCCTTGCCTATTTTACAAATGAAGTCATGCAGGTCAAGAGCTGGGTGAGGATACTGGCAAGGGAAATTCTTTTTTTTTTTTTTTTTTTTTGATTTTGTCTTTATTGATTTCAGAGAGAAAGGAGAGGGAGAGAGAGAGATAGAAACATCAATGATGAGAAAGTCATTGATCGGCTGCCTCCTGCACGCCCCCCACGGAGGGTCGACCGTGCAACCCGGGCATGTGCCCTGACCTGGAATCGAACCGCAGTCTCCTGGATCATAGGTTGATGCTCAACCGCTGAGCCACACCAGCTAGGCAGTAAATTATTCTTTAATGTTGTGACCTTGGGCTTCTAAATTTCTGGGAATAAGAGTTACTGTATCTTTATACAAGTCATAGGTGTTCTAGAGAAATTCTGAGTTTTCAAACTTGCGCTTGCTAATCTGAAATGCAAGCTTTCATCCTAAAAGGATCTTCAGTGTTTAGTAACAGAAAGGCATCATCCTATTCGTTTTCTAGAAACGTACATTAGGATACAATTTGTTAGGAAAGAAAGTATAGAGCACTTTGAAATCCGCTGTAGAAAATAAACAGCGATTTTCTCAGCTACTTTTCCCAGGGGCCGTGCTGTATTTCCAATGCATAGTGAGGACCCTCGAGTGTGTAATGCAGACTGAGGTAGCCCAGGCTGAGGCCGTAAGGGCCGGAGGACCTGTGCATATTAGGAACCACTATTAGCAATGTTTTTAAAGATCCGCGCAGAATGATATGGGCCATACGGTGACTGTCCCTCAGAGGCTACGCGGATCATGTAAGTGAAGTGTGAGACAGGTGAAAAAGGCCAAATGAAGTACCTGAAAATTACCAAGTAAGGTCATTCCAAAGGAAGACAGGCACAGTGCCACCAGTCCACTAATATTCAGCCACGGGTTTAAAACCTTTGGTTTCAGCTGTATGAAGCGCAGAACAGCGACCACAAGAGCTGGGGAATAAAACGAAATGTTAAAATGGGAAAACTGAAATCATACACTCAAACCATGAGGCAGAGTTCTAAAGCCATGACATGCAAAATTAAACTTTTCGCCACAGTGCGTTTTTAAATCTCTGAAATGACAATTTTTAGAAGAAATTTTTCATGCAATGCTTATGATTATTTAGATATTTTATTGTACCCAACCTGGGGGAAGCAGAGAGGAGCTGAAGCAGCAAGCAGCGCTCATTTGGGTGACGCCAGGGTGACAGAACTGCTCATAGTGTTCTCAGGGTTTTCAGAAACGAGGTCAGCACAGGACAGACTGACTTAGGAGAACACTGCAGAAGCTTGACGCACGACAGATAGGACGGGATAAAGACAGGCCCTGGCATGGAAATTCACGGACTCAACCATCCTTTAGCTTAGAACAGTGTTAGGACAGACAGGGCAGGAACACAAAGGGAAGAGGGAGAGGCTCCACATCTAGACAAACCCACGGGCCTGTGCCAGGAATCACTCCCCGGCAGGAAAGAAGGGAAAGGCAGTGTCCAACCCTTCACTACCGGTTTACTCCGACTTCCCTGATTCCACCTGCAGGTTGCACTGGCAAAGGAGACCAGCCCAGTAACCAAATTTTGAGCTATGGATTTTAACAAGGCGGATATGGGGGTCTGATATGTATTAAAGATCACACTGATTATATTAAGAAAGTTCAATTCTTCCAAATGATATAAATTACTTATTTTAAAAGATCACTCTATCTTTTGAAGCAAGTTGTAATTGGAGAACCTGAAGAGATACTTAGATTTCAAATGTCACTTCTAACAGTAACCTTGAAGATGGTCCATACTCAAGCCACGAATCTAAGAATCCCCTTTATTAACTGCTTAATGCAGGGATATTTTCATATTTATACAAAAGCTGATAGAGGTTAGTTTACAAATGATAAAAAAGATACTTGCATTTAATGTAAATTATATCTACATAAAAGGGAATGCACTTACCATTTCCTAAGACAATTTATTTTGACATTAAGGTTTAGCAGGGAAGACAATTAGAAATTCAAGAATTACCCTATTTATACAGCAATTAAGTAGGTAATTATGTGCTAAAGGTTTTACTTTGATCACAGGCCATTATTATAGCCATTTATAAAGAAAACCCATCCATAAATTTGCATTTCCAAGTAAGCTGAATTTCATGGTTTAAGCTACAAAGCTCAGTGAGTTGACAATCACTTTCAAGAACCTCTGATCAAAGAGTGGAACACAACTTGGACAATATCTGGATTTTGGAAACAAAATAGAAATAAACCATAACTTGTGAAATCTAAAAGTTCTGTTCTGATTTAGCTTTTAGTATATTTATGTTTCAGCTAATGCCCATTATTGATCATAATATTAATAAATTATACTTGAATTGATAATAGTTTTCCAACCTACTTATTTGAGGAACCTAGTTAGGAGTTATATTACATTAGAAGTCTATTAATAATGATAATAACTACCCTAGAGGATAAAAAATCAGCACAACATTACTTTTTAGGATGGGAATAGGAGGAGGAAGTGGGGAGAGAAGAAATCCAGCATTAGCACTCTCTCTGACACAAAGCAGTCCTCACATAAAGAAGCCATTAGATTCAACCCAGGAACCCAAACACAGGGCACCAAGCGAGACACGTGCTAACCAATCAAGTGTGGACACTAGTCAGGGCGTAAGAACAAAATACCAAGACAGCACACTTCATTTCTTCTAAAAATAACTAGTGGAGAGTATTACTCTGAGAACCCTCTGGTCGTCAGGTAGTTTGGAAGAAGATGGTGCTGCAACTTCAGCCTAACGCTAAACCGCTGCTGACATTCACCCGTCCAGTCAGTCTGTTCAACTGTGTCCAGGAGAAGAGAGTCGATGGCGGTTCTCTGCATTACCCATTTGTCTCCAATAAAAACGAGACACGCATCAGTCTCTTGGTCCCTGCATTGCTAGCCTTCCCTTTGTAATAGGGATGATAAAAATCATTTGATCATGACAGTTGATGAAATTAAGCAGGAAACAGAAACCTACCTGAAGACAGGAGTTCAACCCAACACTCAGCTCCCAGAATTGCATTCTCAACCCACACTTACCCCTTTTAACCTATTACTCCCATTATTAATCCACTCAGACTAGGTATAATTTCCTTTTAAAACAGACTCCAATTTTTAGGATGGTGGAAATAATGATTATTTCATACTTTTATTAACAATTAGGTTTAAAGGGAGGCAGACTCAGGCTATCCGTTACAAAGCTCATTTTCAATCAAACAATGGTTTAATTATACCTTGAAAAAGATTTCTGGGCAGTGGAGCAACTGCAGGGCCATCTTTATATATGCTAACCAATTTTCAGTTTCATTAAAATTTTTAGATTTTACCCTGGCCGGTGTGGCTCAGTGGTAAAGTGTTGGCCCAAGCACCAAAGGGTCTCGGTTCCACTCCCAGTCAAGGGTACTACCTGGGTTGCAGGTTAGTTCCCCGGCCCCAGTCGGGTCATGTATGGGAGGCAACCAACCGATGTGTCTCTCACACTGATGTTTCTCTCCCTCCCTTCCACTCTCTCTCAAAAAAAAAAAAAAATCAAAAAAAAAAATATCCTCATGTGAGGACTAACAAAAAAAATTTAGATTTTATCAACAGTTTTAGACAAGATTTAAAAAATCCACCTTCCTATGGCTTTTGGTATTTAGCATAGTCCTCTGCTCTACAGGTGTCCCTCATTTAATTTCTCTAGTTTAAAAGAACACAAATATTTTTTAAATTGCTTATTTTCTTTGTTATTTATTTTTCCTTTGAGGCTGATTGGGTTTTTATTTTTATTTTATTTATTTTTAATTTTTATTTTATTAGTTTTTAATCTTTTTGTCAGAAAGAGGAAGGGAGAGGGAGAGATAGAAATATCAATGATGATCGAGTCATTGATCGGCTGCCTCCCACACACCCCCTGCTGGGGACTGAGCCCACAACCCCAGGAATTGAAACCCTGATCTCCTGGATCCTAGGTCGATGCTTAACCGCTGAGCCACACTGGCCAGGCTGATTGGGTTTTAAAGTTCAACTCAAAATAGCAGCTCTTCACTGCAGTTCTACACTGGTGCCTGGCCAAGTTCTGTTGTGTTTGGTTTAGCTTTATTGTTTATGCGTCAATGATTCCTATTTATGACTGCAGCAGAACACAATATGTTTTGGATGAAGGAGGGAGAGTGGTTGTCTTTGGGTGACTGAAATCATTCAGAGATTAGCTTTATTCTGGCAACCTTTCCAGATTTAAGAAATTTGTCTTAGGTTTTCCCCCTATCCTCCCAGGAGAAATAAAGTGTTGACTCGGGACAAAGAGCATAACTAATTCTCTAAAGAAAATAATTGAGCATTTGATCTTCGATTAGTCCATCAAAAAGATAAAAGATATTTGGTTTTAATCAATGCTACACCAACTCATTTGTAGACTGTAAATTATAATCTATACAGCTGCCAAAAAGCAGTGACTTATAGGCAGTGCAGGTTGTTTCTCAAAGTCAGTTATGTTGTCTAAAGTAATAGTCTGAGGTCGAGCGGGACGAGCCTGGGGAGATGGAGGCAGCCACAGTTCAGAGCAAGAATCATTAGTAAACTGACTTTCACTCCAATTTGATAAATAAATAATTGTTGGTTTACTCCCACTGAACACTAATCTCAATCAGTTTTGTGTCTACCAGATGGCACCAAAAATGATACAAGTTAATAAAGAATAAACACCGGGTGCTGCAACACTTCATTGCTCCTTGGTGGAGTGGGGAAGGGCCAGGTGGTGACGAGAGTCATCTGCAAGACGGGAACTTTTTTCATTACTTTGTTTTTGGAAATGCTTTTGTAACTAGTTAATCATAAGCTTTACAACTGGGTAAGTTTGTGAGCTGTGCAGACTGGTATTTTTTAGATTATACACTAAGGACTACTGGGAAATACAGATTTTTGTTAAGGATATGAAGGAAACCAACATGTTCACTGGTTTCTTTAAAGCCCGGTGGAATACAGACAGCGGTGACAGTTTTTCCTACAAGGGCACTCTCGTCTGTATTGTGACTGGATGAGGTAGCGTTTGCAAAGCTCTCAGCACTGTGCCTGGAATGTAAATGACTGTCATTCGTTACTGGTATTGTTGCGCCCCGTGGGGATGCTCACATGAGTAGGTACCAACTGGCAGGCTGCACGGTGTGGCCGCGGAGGGGCTGGGCAGGTCCCTGCCACTGCAAAGGAAGACTCACTCTCGGGCTTAGTGCTCTATGAAACGCAAATACCTCCTTAGCAGTCATGTGTGCCTGGCTATGACTAAGTGTATTAGATCTTTTCAGAAGAGTGGTGTCAAGAGTAGGAAAAAAAGGGCAAGTGTAAAGCTCCTGGCAGCTCTGAGGCTGAAGGCACTGAGGACAAAACCTGAGTGGCAAGGATGGGCCCTGGTGCCCACCAGCCGCTGAAAATACCACCTTTCTCAGAACGTGGGAATGTCTGGGCCGTGGAAATACTGCCTGCCAGGGGCACAAAGAGAAGGGCTTCATTAAAGATTCAGTAGACCCGGCGTCAGGCTGTATGTAACCTTCTCCTTAGTGCCAGCGGAGCAGTCCACGCCTTCCAGACGCTTCCAGCTCAGGCGAATGGAAGGCGCTTTGGGAAGCCTGGGTAGGGAACGGTTACCTCCAGGGGACAATCTTACTAACTGCGGAGAACCTCACAGGTTCAGGAGAGGACTCTTGGGCCTCACAGGGGAAGTTCTCCATGTTTCTCGCTCTTTGAACCCTCTGAGCTAAGATTCTGCCTGGGTTGCATGTCGGACCAACCATCTTCCTTGATTGTCCAATCAGGTTTATAGGTCTTCCCTTTTCCTACAGCAAACATTAAAAAAGACCATGTTAAGAGTGAGTGGACATTTTTTTTGGTCGGGGGGTGGGAGGAGTTATATATAGATGAAATAACAGGTCACCTCTTGGGAAGACAGATGCCAAAAAGGCCAAATCCTCCCTCAGTAATAACATCACCTCTATCTCTTACGTGGAGTGGAAAGTCTCACCTTCCAAAGGAACCATTTCCAGAAAACCACTGGTGAAATATTTAGTTGTCACTGGTCCATCCCCCAGAGCATGCTAATGATGACAGTTGGCTGGCCAACTGGGAAGGCCTGGCCTTGAGGAGATGGTACATAAGGCCGGTTGGAAAAGAACAGAGAGCATGGCTGGTTCCCACATCCGCAGAGGACCAGCGGGTCACAGAGGCACTCACAGAGCAAACGGGACGGGATATTAAATGAGGGTCTTGCATCATGAAGAAAAGTGGGGAGCTGGGGCTGGACATGAGCATAAAAGTTTCCCTCCCTTC